AAATCAGACAATGTTCATTGCTATTTATAAGGTTTTCAACCTAATCCCACTAACTTGGACCATCTCTTCCTTTTTCCTAGTCTGGAAACCTCAATGAAACTTGGACTGGTCCTCAATGCATGGGGAAGGTACAGTGTCTGGGGAATGCCCCTCTTTACACACCAGGAAGATTCAATCAAATTAAGTTTTATTTGTTTTAGTTCCTATCCCTTCCTGTAATCCTAGTGTAGGCAACTAATAAAGGCAAAGAAAGAATGAGTGATAAAAAATTTAAAAACCACATGTCTTTCTTAACAGGTTCTTGATTTCGGGCTTCGCTGATATCAACAGGTCCAAACACTGTTCAAAGAAGAGACTTAATGAGACATCACATGCAAATTTTTGGCTATTATGTGGGACTAGACACTTTTTTATTCATATAAGAATTTTTGTCATGGGACATATCACAATTTTCATCTAAGCTGTCCTACTAAGTACTTTTGAAGAGAAAGTGCTGCTCAATAGAACTAAAGAGATTAACCCAGAAACTACAGCATGAGCTCAAACAAAGGAATGGCTGAGAAGAGGAGCAGGACCAAGCTGTGTTTGAGTCTGCTGGACCTGGGGTGGTTGTGCGCTGAGATCAATTAGATGAAGCCTAACAACACCAACACCAACAACAGCTCAGTGGAAATGTATGCCTGTGTCTGAGTGTGAGCATTTACTAACAGCCTTTGTAAGGGTGACTTTGTAGTTTTCCTCTGAATTTAGTCAATCTGTGTTCTTAGTTTCCACATTCTGGGTAATTGTTCTCTATATCAAATATTCCAAGTTAGAAACAAAATGTGTCAGAGCTTGTTTTCGCAGTCATACCAGAAGGAATGGTTGAACAAAACCCCTCAGGAATATTGTCTTCCTGATTTAGACATTGTAAACTATTTGCAGAATCGCTGGTGTATGCGTTAAGTGCATTCCACTCCCACCAGCGAGAACATCGTCTCTCTAGAGGTGTCATTGCTTTTACATGCTTCATTTTATTTTGTCACTAATCACAGTTATGAGAGACAGGATTCTCATATCTTCCATTTTACTTTGTAACTTGCCATGGGTTTATATTTTGCCTGTATTTTGTCCTGAAACAAAACAGCTCAGATTTTTTTCTACTCTAAGTAATATTATTTTAGTGTTTTTGAAAACTGGAGAATTTATCATAGTATTTTAATGACTTTTATGTTATTACTGAACTGGTAAATACATTGTAAAAATTTATATTTGACGTAAAAGTGTCCTGTACAGAAGTGATGAGAGGTTTTATTCAGAATACTATTATCCACAGGGACAGATTTTAATTTTGCTCAGTTCTTTCTGTCTGGAACACTACTAGTCCTAATTGCCTCCTATCTTTCTCTCTCCCTGCAAAGACTTTCTCCACCACCTTACCTAAAATGGACACATTATATCTACTTCCATATTTTGTTTTATTTTTCTTTATAGCACCCAAAATGTTTATGTCTATACTTTACCCAAATTGATGTATACGTTTGACAGTAACAGGGATTTAGTTTTCCTCATTGCAATATTTTTGGGTATTAGACAGTGAATGCTCAATGAACATTTGCTAGAACAATAAATAAATGGAAGAATGAATGGATACATATTGTGTTAGGAGGATTGACTAGCTAAACAAATCCAGAGACACTCATATATGTGTAAGAAAGAGTTTTACATCAAGGAGTAACTGTATATCAAGAAAACACCCCAACCTAGTCCAACTCCAGTTTATAAGTTCAATACTAG